AAAGGGTGCAATAGACTTTATATGCTCCTGAGGGTTACAGAAACTCCTTTTACTTATCCTGGACCACTTTTGTCAAACAATAGTTCCTCATTAGCCTCCTTATGTTAAAGCATAGATGGCCAAACTGCGGCCCTCCAGCTGTGGTGGAACTTTGAATCCCACGAGGCTTTGCAAGATTCTCACAGCCACAGAAATGACTACCGGAGAGAGATGCTTCATGGGATTTGTAGTATCACCACAGCTGAAGGGCCGGAGTTTGGCCATCCCTGTGTTAAAGTGGCAATACACTTAGGAGTTAAGCCTTTAAAAATGCATCAATCAAGTACCTGAACTATTAATAAAAATGTATCTTATTTGTGTATCGCTCAGCTGTAGATCCTCAAATCATCTCTGAATTGGTGCTGACACTGTCCACCCTTCTGGAGGGGGGCTGCTTTTGTTCCTCATGGTCCCTGTGCATGTTGTAAAGTACTCACCGCTCCAAGCTCGCTCCCAGGATGGACTACAATCTCAATGCAAATTAGTAAACTAAACCTGAGATTGTAGTGCATCACGGAGTGAGCTTGGAGCGGTGACTACTTTATGCAGCTCCCGCCCACACGCCTGCCGGCCGCAGCTCACGCCCGCACGCACGATGGAAGCGACATCCGCCGGGACCGACAACAGCACGCCGCCTTCCGGGACCTCGTCCAGTCCTCCCCCAGCCAGGTAAGACATCCCCCGAAAATAAGACCTTGTGTCTTATGTCGTGCAAACAAAACATAAAATAAGACAGTGTCTTATTTTCGGGGAAACACGGTAGTTAGGATGCTTAAATGCATTTTTAAGATTTAAATTCTAAGTTTAGTGTCACTTTAATTTTTATTTCTTCTCAGAAAAAAAAAATCAGTAAAAAAAGTATAATAACAATCGAAAGTGAGGGTACACAAAAAAACAGTTGAATATAGTAAAAAAAAATAGAATAAGTGAAATAAAGCGAAGCTACCCTAAATATTCCAATAAAACATAACCTCTGGAAATAAAAAAATCACCCTAGGAGCGAAATGAGCGAAAGGAAGATTTTCCACTGCAGCAAAATACTGAAATTGGTAATTAAGAGTCAAAATTAATTTTGCGAAATGACTCCGCTTATCGCTACAATAACGCATGCGGATTAAAAAAAAAACTGAATTCAATATTTTAAGTGAATTGATCCTTTAGTTATGTAAATCTCCTGGACAATATAAAGTCCCAGCATATCCTCTCCTGTTATGACATCAGCATTGTAATAGGAATACACACTGGAGTTGTTTCTGATAATAGAATCAAAGCTTACTTGTAAAATCTGTTTTATGTAGTGAGCGCTGCCTTCCGTCTGCCCATCACTTCTAACAACTTCCTGGATTCCCAGCGTGCTTTGCGTCTCTTTCCCTGCTGCTAGATGTGCTGCAATCTCCATTTCTCGAGACCACATATCCCATCATGCATTGCTTTCAGCAAGCAATGATGATGTTACATTGTTCAGACGTTGAGTTGTAGCTCAGAAGGCGGGCTCTGAGCGGTGACACCAGGAAGTGCACATTCACAGGGCTAAGTGGAATGGTGTCAGTGCATTGAGGAAGTCCATCCTATGGGCATCTTTCGTCTAGATGGATCTGGTTATTAGGAGCGGGATAGAACTTATAGAAATACAGGTTTATTTTCCGTTTTTGACCATGGATTTCCTTTAGGCTTCAACTTCCCAAATCCCAGACACTGTAAAACCCAATAATGACATTTTGTAAAGCAATGCAATTAATGTAGATCACTGAGTGGTTTTTTTTTTTCTACATAGAGAACCGATTTAAAGAGAATCTGCCAAACATCCACAGCAGAGTCATTAGACTGGACACTGGGTAATAGAGTCTGTTACCGGCTTGCCATCTATTGATCTATTGATCCACCTCATACCATCAACCCATCAGGAAGTCTCAAGGAGTTCAGGTATCTACAGCATAGCTGCTTGTCTTCTCCGCACAGGAATTTGCAGATCATTGCTTCACACATATGTGTCTATAGCCTTAGCGGGATCCCTGCGGGCCTTAGCGGTGACATCCGCTGCATGTAAACGCTGGCACACCGCATGTAATGATATGTGATATGATTACATGTGGTTAGGAATCAATTACCTTCCCTGGACACAGGGATTTTCCATCCAGGGGGAGTGTTTTCTAACTGCATGTCGTCATGTCACATACCATTACATGCAGTGGCTGTCACCTGATCATTAACTTGAATGGGTGACAGCTGGCACTTCTAAACACCAGATCAGGCATTCCTGCTGCAGAAAAAAACAAGTTCCTGGCGCAGGAAACCATAATCGCACCTAAACTTACAGGTGTGAGTATATTAGTGTCCGTAGAAGACATGTGCAGCTGCAAAAAATTAGTTTAGTTCAGTTTCGGATTTCGTATTTCCGAAATCGTGTCCTGTATGTGTTTCGTTTTGGGTTTCGGATTCGTAATTCAGGCGAATGTCTGAAATGTGGGGTTTTGCGCGAAAGGACGTATGTTCGTACGCACGTACGTAGCGGAACTGGCACAGTTGACATCTCTGGTTGCTGTGTTCTAGTCTTCACTATTAAAGGGACATTAAAATCTGTTTTTATCCGTTTGAACGTTGACGGTGCACGCACAGGAACATGAAGTAATTTTTTGTTTTTATCTTCACATGCTATGAAAAACATTTACATTTCGGAATCTCCGAATCCACGAATTTCCGATTCGGAACGAAATGAATCGCACATGTCTAGTGTTTTGGCAAGCGGCCTCCATGGGAGAAAAAAAAAATTGTCGAGCGGCCCCCGAGTAAATTGAGTTTGTGAGCCGTGCCCTAGACTAAAACAAGCACTTAACCCTTGCAGTGGGGGTAGCCCCACTGCAAGGGTTAAGTTTTATTCTGCCAGGAGTTCTTCTTCATAGATTTGGGGAGATTAAAAAACTGCCAAAATACACACGTTATATGTTATATTACAAACGCTTCAAATGAGTGAAATGGTTATTTTGGGGTTAGTGGTGTCACCATGAAGCACTGGGGTCTAGGTTTTAGATTTCTAATATAGACAATAACAAAGAGCTGCTTAGTTGACATTTGTTTGAAAAATAAAATATTTTTATTTCTTTTCTTATTTTACTTTTGCTTTCTGCGACAAAAACATATAATGAGAAACTATTTTTTGGCAGGATGGGGACAGCTTTGGCACAAGAATAGCTGAAAGTAGCTGAAATGTCCCCTTTAGGGACCACCAAAAACACCTTAAAGTGCGTGTATAGCCATTTTTTTGTTTTGGATGGGGTAGAGAAGGGAGTGAACCCCGGTCTGTGTTTTTTTTTTTTTTTTAAGGAGACTATAGGGGTCTATTCACAAAGCTGCCCTAGGATCTAGCCGTAGCTTCGGCTGATCCTTCGGCTAGCTTAGGCCCCAGGACCCATTCGGTTCAGTAGAACCAAAAGGGCTGCTGTACGGGCTATTCTGTATAGCCCGTACAGCTCCTGAAGTTGGCCGAGCGGCTCAGTCAAGCCGAAGGCATATGCCTCGGCTCGACTGAGCCGCGCTGAAAATCGAAGCTGGCCGAGTGGCCTGCTTCTGACAGCTGGGCGGAGCCAGCCGTGATCTTATGGCTGGCTCCGGCCACTTGCAGAGAGATCAGCGTCCCTGGTTACCAGCTAACCAGGGACGCTGTCATTACACACTGAGAGCGGCCTCTCCATGTTCTCACGTGTGTAATGACACCTTGTGTGTACCTTGTAACCAGGAACGCATCTGTCATTCCTCCCCCGGACGCTCTGGGAGTCTAATAGGCTCCCGGCTGCCCGGGAGAGAAACACTTTCTCACAGAAAGGTTCACTCTGCTCAATCGAGCAGAGTAAACCTTTTCCTGCTCGGAATTTAGCTATGCTGTCCCCATAGGAGAGCATAGCTAGATTCATATTGGCAATCAGCAGAGGGGGATCTGCAGTTCTCAATCAGGTCCCCGTCTGGTGATTGACAGCAGCAGAGGGCGGGTGCAATAGCTAGTTTGCTATTGGCTATTGCAAAGTGAAATAGCCAATAGGAATCTAGCTATGCTTTCCTATGAGGATTTCGTTTTTTGTTTTTTTTTACGGCAGCAGAACCGCCCAGGCCAATAGAAAACAGTTGGGTGGAGCTAGCTGTCATTGCTAGACTATTTTAAACTAGCTCGGTCACACAGAGGGACCGAACAGAACAGCCGAGCCAAAGCCGCTCAGCGGCATTCGGCTATTTACTCACTGCTGCTCGGCATCTATAAGAATAGACCAAACAGCAACGAGTAGTCTGCCGGAGGTTCGGCCGAACATGCTGAGCATGTTCGGCTGACCCGAAGCCACACGAAGCCACACGATGTACGGCTGATTTCAGCCAATATACGGCTGAAATCAGCCATACAAACCTGAAGTGAATAGCCGAACAGCGTTCGGCTCACTTCACTTGGGGTCGGTTGTTCACTCGGCTGCCTACGGCAGCTCAGTGAATAGACCCCTATGTTTACCCAAAAAAAAAAGAACTCCCCATCATGGAAAAATTACAAGAGATACCCTGACTACAAAGTATAAAGAAATAATCAGATTTTTTTATTTAAACAAACCTTTGTTAACCAGTTGACATCCGCGGTGTTAAACCCCCTTCCCATCCAGGCCATTTTTCAGTATTCAGCGCTGCGGTACTTTAACTGACATTTATTCCGTCATGCAGCGCTGTACTGAAATTAATTAGTGAACGAGCACATATAGGCGATCGGCGGGCTATGGACCTGCCGATCGCCTATATGTGAAACACCCGGTAACGGGTGTGTGCTTTGAGCGGGTCTTTTCTGCCCGTGCGGCAACCCGCAGATGCTGCAGTGCCGTCCGTCCGTTTTTTTACTACGGGCGGACGGCAAGAGGTTAAATAGTTCTCTAATTGGAGCGGTTTGGGTAATATTTTGTATTTTTTCAATAAAGTAAAAGAGATACATTGTTAGCAAATCAAATCTTATCATTGTTTTGTCCTTGTTTTGTGCTTTTGTATCAATAACCAAAGCTTTTTTTAAAGTAGTATTAAACACTTAAATGTTTTTTTCAATAATTAATCCATATCAAACGAATATACGTGACCCAGCAAAGTATTTGTTTACATTTCTGCCCAAGAGCTTACAGTCTTCATGTTTCCAAACAGCTCCAACTCTCTCAGCTTCCCTGAACTTCCTGTCCCGTACACAATCACAAGGGACAGAGCCGTCTCCAGCAGCTGTCCAGCTACTAGCTTTGAGAATGGAGGAAAGAGAAGAGAGAAGGGAGGAAGTAGAGGGGGAGCAGGGTAGTGTAAAACAATAAAGGGGGTCGGGCTTCCTATATAGTATAAGAAGTCCAAGGGGTTATTCAAAGACCGGGACAGACCAAAGATTAAATTATTCTTACCAAAAGGATTTATTCATATAAAGGTAAACGACAGACATGGCCAACATCTACCTATCGACCAATAAAAACAGTATATTGGCCATGTCTGTTGTTTTACCTTTTTATATGAATAAATCCTGTTTGTAAGAATAATTTAATATTTGGTCTGTCCCGGTCTTTGAATAACCCCTTGGACTTATTATACTATATAGGAAGCCCGACCCCCTTTTTTGTTTTACGTCTTGCACCGGTTATGGATCTGGCAAGACGGACCAATTTGAAAGGGTAACTTACTTAGAGCTGATATCTCCAGAAGTAAAACAACCCCAAATTGGTAGCAAGGTAGTGTCTTGCCTTACTGTACATGTGTGTTTGTGGAGACACACACAGCTTACCAGAACACACAAGGGTGGCTCCATAGGACTCTGCAAGGGAAAGGAGCCACCCTAAAACAAGATATCAGGGGCAGTGCTCAGGGGACCAGCTGATTCTGCAGGAAACTAAAACTTGTCAACATCAAGGAGCAGCATCCATTGTAAGGGATTTCATCAGCATTTGAAAACGTTTTTAAAAAGTTTAATATAATTTTAAATTAAAATTCCCATTTTTTTCTGTAATTTTCTGTCCAAGTCCTGTTGGAAGAGCTTTCCCCTCAATGCCGGAACCTGAGATGCAAGAGGATATGAAAGGAAATCTCTAAAAAGTGATCAGAATTCCCTTCTTTGACAGATGTCATTGGAACAGGTATCCCCGTTAAACGATATACCATCACCATGTTCTTGGGACAACTTTTGGATTTTAGATCTCCCATCAGTCGGTGATTGTCTTCACAGACCAATAGTGAGGTTAAATCTCCCCGTGCAGGGACACAAACCGCTATAAATAATCTAATTCTTCCCTTTTCTATCCAAAACTAAAAAAAAAGGTCTGTATCTGTACGTACACAGTCATTTTCTCCATCGTGTACAGTGCATGCCGCCAGATTGGCAAAATTTTGCCAAAATTTCCCAAACAAGCTGAAAACTCTCAATTTCACTCATCCCTAGTCACTGATTGGTGGACGTGTCTGGGAGGAGTTTGCTGCATGCGGCAGACTTCTCCTGTCCAATCAGGAGTTTGCAGGCAGGAAGTAGATAATAAAAGGGACTGTTTCCAGGTGTTCAGCATGTGGGGTGTTGGAGAAGTTCCAGGAAGATGCTTTTCTCCCATGTCCTAGCAAAGCATAGAGCTGCGGGTGTCACCCTGCGTTTATATAAATACGAGAAATAAATCTGCAATTAAATCATAATCTGCCGTCATCATATACAGAGAAGAAACAAATCTCATGGATGAGCAGGGAAGCAGCAGGAGCTTCTCTTTATGTCACAGTCCTACGCCGTGCTGACATCAGACTTTCCTCAATCTTATCTATCAAGCACACCTGTCAATAGGGGAATTGATTTGCCGTCTGCCGCTAAGAGAGTTTGTATCTCCTGGGTGTGAAGTGAAAGCCTCAAGCAAAAGTCTTGCTGTCTGGACATTAATAGGCACCTATATCAGCCCCGACCCATCGCAGCTTGTCCGTCAGCGCAAAGATTTTCTGCAACTTTTATGAGGTGC